GGGGGGGGGGGGGGGGGTGGGTTTTCAGGATTTGAAACGGTTTAACTTAGAAATGTTATCGAAACAACTTTGGAGAATACTCACATCTCCAAACTCTCTACTGTCACAAATACTCAAGGCTCGTTATTTTCCCCAATCGGAAATTTTTCGCGCTACACTGGGTTCCAGGCCTTTGGCGACTTGGCGGAGCTTCTTACTTGCTGTGATGGTTTTATTCAGGACTTCGTCGGAAGATTGGCAACGAACGGGATACCTCTATTTGGGGGGATGCATGGTTCAAAGAGGATGGTAACTCGCGAATCATTACCAAACGGCCGATGACGACACTTTTTCCAGATCAGGTCTGGGATTTGCTGGACCATACTACCATGCAATGGAATGTGGGGTTGATTATGCAGACCTTCTGTCCCATTGACCATGAAAGAATTCTCTCCACTCCGGTAGGGTGTCCTTCGGCGAGCGATAGGTGGGTCTGGAAATTCTCCCATAATGGGCGATTCTCGGTGAGGTCGTGCTACTTTATGTTGCTAAACTCGGGGTTTGGGATGAGAGAAGGAATTCAGGGCAGCAGGGGACGATCCTGGAAAGCAGTGGAAACTCTTGTGGGAGCTTTGAATCCCACCCAAAGGTGCGGGTGTTTTGGTGGCGAGCATGCTCCAATATTATTCCAACTGCAGCTACGTTATTCAGACGGAGGATCGCATCGTCGCTGTCTTGTTTCCGCTGCGGGGAACGGGTGGAAACATTCATACATGCGGTACATGGGTGTGTGGGAAGTCGGCAGGTTTGGAGTGGAGATGTATTTAAATTACGGCCGATCGTGGACTCTTACTCGACGTGGCAATGGTTCAATCATTTGAGCGAGATGCTGGGAAAGGACAAAATGGAGATGGCTACCATTGTTACGCGGAAACTTTGGGAAATTCGCAATCGGAAATTACATGGTGAGTTAGCTATGGATTTTTCGGAGGTGTAGGGTTGGTGCGACAATTTCTTGGCGTTGTATCGGCAACAATTAAAACCTTCTCCCCTGTCAAGTCATAAAAAACGTACGGAGGTTTGGATTCCACCGCCGCCAGACTCACATAAGGTAAATTTCGACGCGGCCTTTCCGGTAGATTCAGGTTTTTATCGCATTGCTGCTGTGGCTCGTGACTCTCAATGAATGTGCATTAAATGGGTGACGAAGCGCATTAGGGGCAGACCTAGCGTGGCCGATGGTGAGGCGCACGCAGCCATGCTTGCGGCAGAATTGGCAGCACGGCACACATGGCGCTCGGTCATCTTGGAAGGGGACTGCAAGACGATCATAGACGCAGCTAACGAGGGCGACTTCCACACATATTCCTTCGGCGCCTACTTAGAAGGAATCTTCATTCTGTTAACATATGTTTCGAATTTAAAATTTCAATTTGTTCGACGTTCCTGTAACCGTCTAGCTCATTATTTAGCTTCTTTTGATTCTTCCGACTGTTGTGAGGGTGACACTTTACCTCCGTATTTAGCCGATTTGGCATATTGAGCTAATATATGGGTCGTTTCTCTCAAAAAAAAAAAGGAATTGTATAATTTGATTTTTAGTGTAATGTTTTTTTCAATATTTTCTTCAAGGTTTTAATGTAATTGTTTCTAATAATTATTATGCATGTAAATTCATTTTTCTATAAGAAATATAAATGTCAATGTACTATACAATACATATGTATAAATTACACTAGCAGTAGTTAATTTTTTTGGGTTATTTAATAAATCTTTATAATTCTCATTTCTTTATTTAATTCAATTATTAAAAAATAAATAAAGGATAATATAAAGGGGAAATGTGGGATAACACCTATTTTTGAAAATATATATGAGAAGGTCCAATGTTTTTTTCTCTCTAAGGCAAAATCCCAAATTCTGAACTTAATTAGGTAGACCCCTCTGAGCAAAGAGGATATGACTATTTTACCCTTATTTTCTTTTTTATTGGGTAAGGAAATTCTCTAACGGTATAGAAGGAAGCAGTTTATTTTTCTCCCTCTCTCTCGGCCCTGTTTCTCACGGTGATTTCTCTCTCTCGCTTTCTCCATCTCAATCGATTTCTTATACGATTGGGTAGGGTTTCGTATTTTTGGGTGTTTTAGCGTGATTTGCGTCGATCGAGGTTCAGCTTTCTCTATCTCAATCGCTTCCTCAAGGTTCTTTTTTTTTATTTTTTTTACAGAGATTTCATGGCTCGTTTTTGTTTATGATCATGATGCGAGGCTGGGTGTTTGTTGATTTTACAATTGTGATTTTGCGTTTTCCTGTGTTTTTGTACAGTTTGGGGTTTTTATTGGTCAATTGTGTTTGTGTTGATGCATTTCGATATTATATTGTTTTTTGATTTTTTTTAGAGATTTGTAATTACATATACCAGAGTAGTCATGTTTAGCCTCGTAGACATGATGTATATACAGAATTGTGTCGTTTTGTTTTTTTCAGAGATTTGTATTTGATATATACCAGAGTAGTCATGTTTAGCATCATACACCTGTTTTATATCAGAGTAGTTAAATATATGTAACAGTAGTCATATATATAATTGTTTTTTTGAATTTGTTTGTGTATATTTTTTGATTTGTATTGATATACACCAGAGTAGTCATGTGTAGCATCATAGATCTGTTGCATATCAGGGTAGTTAAATATATGTTACACTAGTCATACACAGTACTTTTTGTTTACAGGTGCAGAATGTCTACAAATATTGTACTAATAATGAGGTTTGGAGAATTATTTGGTGTGAGAAAATATGTTACTTCCTTTGGATTTGAAGAGTTGGTTGGATTCGTAAGGGCCAAATGGGGCTCGTTGCACCAGAACATCATGTCTCTCACGTATACGGTTGTTGGTCATGGGGAGGGTGTGTTGTGTGATGATGACGATGTGTTTTATATGTTGTCATTAGCGCGCGAGATGTCTCTTGATCGTGTTGAAGTGAATGTTAAACAAAGAGAGGGAGTTGTTCCTGATGTGGTATCAAGTGTATCTTGTTTGTCTAATCGGGCACAACATGATGAGGTTGCGTTCGAAATTGGTCAAGGTAGTGGAAGCATCACTTGCAAAATGCTGGAATGTGTGCTCAAACTCAGTTGATGAGTGCTAACTGGGCTGATTTGATCAAGGATGTTGGTCAAGTTTTTCGTGGAGGTGCTGTGGAGTTTAGGAAAGCTTTATGCATGTATTTGGTGGAAACTGGATTTGAGTTTACATACGTTAAGAATGAGCGTGTACGTGTCACATCTGAATGCAGACACAGGACAATAAAAAACTGTATGTGGAGGATACACGCATCAGTTGAGAAGGCCAGTCGGTATTTTTATATAAAGAAATTTGAGAAGCATCACACTTGTGGATCTTCTTTTGGGTCGTCAAGGCAGAATAGAATGACGTCTGACATTATTGCTGGTATGATAGTTAATTTGGTACGAGCGAAGCCAGACATGGTTGCTAATGATGTTATTGTGGAAATGAAGCTGAATTATGAAGTCGACATTAGCTATTATGTGGCTTGGAAGTCTGTCACGGCAGGGAAGCAACATATTTTTGGTGATGATACTAGTTCATACTCACACTTACCGTCGTACTTCGAAGAACTTGGTCGTACCAATCCGGATAGCGTTTATAATCTTGACATCGATGCAGATACGATGAAGTTTCGACGTTGCTTTTTTGCTTTTGGTGCATGCTTGTCGGGTTTTAAGTCATGTCGACCGACACTCTCCCTGGATGGAACATTTCTGCACAACAAACACAAAGGCATTTTGTTAACAGCAATTGGGCAAGATGGTCATAACAGTTAGTTTTTGTACGTTTTATTGTTATTTATGACTATATATGGCTATATGTTACTAAGGCTGTTGTTGTTACTTTGTACGCAAAATTGTTCCCGATTGCATTTGCCGTAGTTAGTGATGAATCTCATAGCAATTGGGCATACTTTCTTACTCATTTGAGGGTTTCCATTGGCACGGATCGTGTGGTCACGTTTTTCTCGAATTGCAATCACGGTATTTTGGATGGGGTGAAAAACATTTTCCCTGATTGTCTTCATATATATTGCTTGTTTCACTTGCATTTAAATTTGTCAAGTAAATGTAGAGGTTGTCCATCTGGTTTTCGAAAAAAGATGTCTCATTTGTTAGATGCTTGTGCCTATGCTTCTACGAAATCTGAATTTGATGTGCATATAAAGGAGTTCATAGAAACTGGCGGTACAAGGATTAGAAATTTTCTAGCAGACCTTCCGTATAACAACTGGACTTGTGCACATTTTGAGGGGAATAGATACGGGCAGATGGCATCTAGTGTTGCAGAATCGTGGAATATGAAGATTGGCGGCATTTGTGGCCTGCCTATAAAAAATGTGGTTGATGGTCTTAGGAGTATTATGATGGTGCAAATGTGTATAAGAGCAGAGGAGGCTGCGGTTATGTCAACTGTACTTTGCACTCCCATTAAGGGCGCTGTTGATAAACTAGTACATGACAGTAGAGTTTTGAAAGCAAAGAGGGCATCAGAGTACATTTACGAGGTGCTTAGTACTACAACAGCTGTTGTTGACATTCGCAACAGGTCGTGCACGTGTAGAGTGTGGCAAGTCAACGGTCTGCCATGTATACACGCTGCGTGTGTTCTGTTCCATAACAATAATGATGGTTATGCATATGTTGACTATCATTACACTGTTGAGTGTTATAAAACCACGTATTCGCACAATATTTATCCATTTGTCAAGCCAGATTTTGATGGTGATTTGCCTTTGGTTGGACCTCCAGATTATCATATTCGGCGTGGCAGGCCGAAGGTGAAGAGAATTCCTTCAAAATGTGAGAAGATTAAGAGGAAGATAAAATGCAGCTCATGCAACCGTATGGGCAATCACAACAAGAAAACGTGCAGGAGGCCTGTATGAGACTTGAGTGGAACTGAAACGTATTTCAAATTTTTTTTCTTTTTCTACTGCCTTGAATCTGTGTGGAACATAGTTTGTGATTTTTTTTCTTGAGTTTCCAAGTACATGATCTGTTTTTTTTTAAGTATTGAATTTTGCTATTACTGATACATGTAAGTACAGTTTTCTGTGTTTGGATTCTAACACCTACAATCACTTAGTCATATAAGTATTTACAACTACTGGGTCTTAAATAGTCATATGACTATGTGACTATAGGTGACTATGTAGTCACAGGTAGTCATATTGTCATCTGACCTAAAAATGTAGATTATAAATAAGTAGTCATTGATAGTCACACGACTTTGTGATTATAGGTGACTACGTAGTCACAGATAGTCATATTGTAATCTGACCAAAATATGTAGATCATAAAGAAGTAGTCATCGATAGTCATAAGACTACGTTACTATATGTGACTATGTAGTCACATGTAGTCACATATAGTCACATTGTCATATGACTATATGACTTTATGTAGTATTCATAGCTGTATGTAAAAGTGTCATACAAAAGTAATACAAAATAACATTTGAAGAATGGTAATGCATATAATAGCCATAAGAAAAGATGTTTTAAGTACTGCAAAAATAGTCATACAAAAGTACTACAAAATAGTCATATAAAAGTACAATTAACTACATAAGATTCTGTTTTGGTGTAAATAGTTTACAGAAATAAAAGCTTCACTTAATAGGAATAGTAATTGTCTAATATCAATTAATCTTGTAGTGGAGCAATGATTCAACAACGGACCTCCTCATGCAACCGACACCGGTCTCAGCGTCGTTGGTAACCAGTGGAATTTGGCGGAATGTGTTCCTTATAACAAACATGACAAAAATACCACAATCGCTTGAATCATCTGCTTGTTGGGGTGAGTCATTTACCTCATGCAGCGGTGCGTTTATGGGAATGGCGCAGATGTTAAACTTCCTTGCTGTGTTTTCGACATACATTTTATGTGTACATGAATGAATTAGATATTTGTTTATTAAATAGGTAGTTGCTGGAAATAAATAGTCAGTAGTTTTTTACCATGTCGGTGGTGTCAATTAGGTATGGGTACTTAAGACCTTTGCGAGGATGTAATGAGTTGTAGAAATGCCACTCATTTGAATTTCTGTCCAATATTAACAGTGTCCAGTGGTTAGCCCCGGTTTGAGGATTACCGTCAGAGTGTAATGGGAAGATGAGGTATCTATGTTTGCTAACTTCTGCTGGTATGCGGAATGTTTTATTTTTGGACTGCCTCAACGATGTCTGTTAGAACTACTGATTAGTTACTGTTGGTTGAAAACCTACACGCAAGTGCACGTATCGTACAAGTAATAAAGTGGACAATTAAGTCCGGATATCGAACCCACAGGGAATATTTAATTATCTAATCCTAGACGCTAAATTCTACCAATTGTTATCAAGCCCACCCTACACAGTCGAGTTTTGAGAGAATAAACTAAATTAAACTAAATTAAAAAGCAAGCAAAAACAAGAAAGCAATTTAAAACGAAGATTTAATCAAATTAAACAAGCCTAGGATTTTATTCTTCCCCCTATGTGATTATTACTCCCCCAATTCCTTTAATTATGCAAGCAATTTACCCGGATTATTAACCTGAGATGCTAAAATAATCATAACCCGCTTCCGCGTGTATTACGATTCTAATATTCTAGATTCAATTACTATATTCCTATGCAATTAATTCTAGAACACATCATTAAGCACAAATCTCAATAATGGCTACCTAAGAGATTAACTATATTCCTATGTTAATACCACAAAGGCTCTTCTACCACAGTTCTAATTATTAACCCGATCTTCCGATTCATGCGATTAACAATAACATAAAAGCACATAAGTTGATCAAGTTCATGCACTTAATAAAACAAGTAGAAGAAATAATCCGGAATTAAAACTTGCATAAAATCATAGAATTGGGTTCATAAATCCCACATAGGGTTCCAAATAAAATCCTAGAAATAAAGACTTAGCTACTCGTAATTCTTATGATAAATAAAATAAAATATATAAATTAAATAAGAAAAACTATGCTTGAATCTTCGTTGATCTTTTTTGCTCTTGATTTTGTGTAAAAAGATGGATCCCCAATTGTGTGCTTGACTTGGTCTTATATAGGGTGAAGAACTTGGGGAAGAAGGCAGTTTCCTTGTGCAATTAAAATTCCTTTAATGCGCAGCTTCGGAGTCTCGGACGGGGGTCCCACAATTTGCACTAAAACTGGGACGGGGGTCCGAGCTCTAAATCTTCAGAATTTTGATATTTTCACTTTTGACCCATATTTTCGCCAAAATTGCAGTTTGACCCCATACTTTTCCAATTCTTCAATTTGTACCTAAAATACAATAAATCAACTTTTTAAGCACCAATTATCATTAAAACACACCAAAAGCTCAAATAAAAAGATACGATAAAGTGTAAAAATATACACTTAACAGTTACCACGGAAAAACATATACTTCTTTTCAAAAAAGCAATTGCAAATATTTTATCGACTTTGTACCAGTAGCATGCTGGTGAACGTTATGCTTGTTCCTTTAAGCGACTCATAAGCGCTACCTTCAAACAACCCTGCAGCTTTTTGATGTCCCCATATCTCGCAGTAAGCATCTATAACCTGTGATTGTACAGTGTTATTAAATTTGTGTACATAATGTGGGCAGGATAGTTTGTACAGTGTTATTAAATTTGTTTTTACCTCGCCCGGAATATCTTTCTTTCTGAGGATGATAAAGATGTCAGCCATCCGAACATGAATATTGCCATCTGGATTCTTCCACACTGTACTACTGTATTTATAAACATTTTTGAAGTATGAATAAGACATGTGATTATGCAGTGATGGGTAGTCATATGACTACTCTTGACTACATATATGAATAGTCATAGAGAAATAATCACTGATAGTCATGTAGTCATATGACTATATATGACTGTGTGAAGTAGTATAATATTCATATAGATGACTGGATATATGACAGTAGTTAGAGTTTACTTACTTCCCATGAACTATTTCATCTGCCATTGTGTTTATTATTGCCTTGTCTCTCGCACTCATGCCGATGAATGGGTTGTATTTTTTGTATCTGAAATCTCTACGTGCTTTCTTGGTGTTGCGTAGTGTTACTTCATGTTTTTTTGACCTAGTACGTTTCCCCACTGCAGATTTTGGGTCCTTTAGCTTGGCCTCGATATCTTCCTCACATATCTCAAAGTCTTTGTCCGAATGAATTGGTGGGCGCTCATCAAGTGCCTTTGCATATTCTGCACAATTAGCTTCCAACTTGGCTATCTTTTCATCTGTTTCTCTAATTTTCTCAAGATGAGTTTTCTCAGCTGATTTTAGGAGGGTGATTTCAGCTTCCAAGAAGATTTGGGCTGCTGTGTGCTCAGGCATGTTTGTCAATGAGATATTTTCTGCTTTAAAGTCTTGTGTCAACGATAGAGGTTTTTCAGTTTGTACAGTTGTTGTAGCATTTGTCGCCTCTTCAAGACGTTTGATGAGGGATTCATTCGTTGTCTTCAGTTCTGCATTTTCTTTGATTTTTTCTTCCAGCTCACTCCGGTTGGCCTGTGTTTGGCTCAAGATATTGAAAGACGGCCCATCAACATTGCTAAGCGTGACCTCGTCCTGTAGTTTTGCAAGTTGAAGAGCGACATGTGCCTTTTTGTCAACAAGTACCTGCTTGTCATTTTTTAGCATGACTATCTCCATCTGAAGTTTTTCTACGACAGCTTGCAGTTGCGACACTTGGGCCTCCTATTCTATCCTTTGTTTTGTTTCTACCTCCAATAGCCTCTTTGTTTCATTCAGCTCGGTAGGGATCTTGAGTTCATCTGACGACTGCCACTTTTTGTACCAGTTTTTGATTGGGACATTCTCGTCAGAATCAGAAGGAATGGCAGAATGAACACTAGCATTTTTGTTGTTGTTATCGTTGTTATGTTCATCGTTTGCATCATCGCTGATATCGTCCAGGACCGAAATTCCATCTAAGATTTGTTGTTCTTGCTTTGTTGGGATCAGGGGATTCTCGTTGACGAGTTGTGGATCGATATCGTTCATGTCCTTGCTGCTCAATGTAGATGCAAGCTCGGATATATCCCACCGCCGAAATCTTGGAAAAGTAAAATCAGCCAGGGGAGGCACGATTGCTACACGCTCACACATCCAATACTGCGTAAATAAACATAAACAATTAGTCCTATTTGTGAGTGTATATGACATCAAGTGACTATAAGTGAATGTACATGACAACAAGTGACTATAAGTGACTATTCGTAGTTACCAGCACAAGTGGTATGCAACCATGAACTTTGTCGTGTTTTTTTGCTGTGTGGATTTGTTTAACCAAGAAATCCGTTATCCCCTAGCCCAGTTGAAGTCATTTGTTTGATCTATATCATCGCAGTACTTGAACATCCACCAAGCTACGATTTCAGCTGAAGTGTTGAAAAGGACAGTTGACATAAGGTGTAGGATTATTAATCTGACCACATCTTCAATGTCTTCATTGTTATCGCTATCTACGCACTGAAGTAGCTGGTGTTTCAAAGTTTTTTGTGGAGCGATGGGTGTGCGGAAAATCTTCGTGCTGCGAGTCCTTGTTGCGGCTTCCTTGATCAGTCAAAAGTCATTCGTGTGTTGCCAGATTGGATGCCAAAGATTAACTTGCAATCTTGTGGTGTGATTGTGATATTTTTGCCTCCTACATGGAATGCCCTTTATATTTTGTTGTATGATATCATTATTTTGAAAGTTCCATTATGTGTGCCTGCGACGTCATCTCTGCTGAGTTTTTGTGTTTTGCGAATGGTAGAACGAGATGGTAGAATCAGGGCCGGCTCTAGGTTATTGGGACCCTAGGCGAAACAAAAAAACGGGGCCCTTTATTTTCAAAAGGGATTTATTTAAAATTTATTATTCTTGTTTTAATAGATG